CAAGCCAGATGGTTTCAAGCAGGACACGCGCGGTCGACACCGTCGTGCCGTGTACGATTGCACGCGCTGCAGATCGAAGAAAAGGAGCCGCTGCGTACACCCTAGATGGTGTATGTATATGATACTATATAGTTGTTGCATATATGGCATGTACGGTGTGTACGTTGTAATGTATACGCTATAATAAAACGATGTATATGCTGTGTATGCTAGATTACAACGTCATGCACCATCATCACACAAACAGCATCATCCGTAACATACGTTCACACATCATGACCAAAATGTAGTCCTTACCGCCACAACCCCGGACACACACCAAAACGTAGTCCTCATCTTCAAAATCGCGTGCACCCCGAAAAACGATGTCTTCAGGACCTCTGGGTACCTCAGCCTCAGCATCAGCCTGCCTCAGCATTCAAAATGTGGCCCGGGAATGGAGTTCTGGGAACTCGAAGAACTCGAAGTGGCCTACAGTAGGCTCCGGGCATTCAAAATCATGCCCAGGAATGGAGTTCTGGGAACTCGAAGACCACGAAGTGGCCTGCAGTTGGCTCCGGGCATTCAAAATGTGGCCCGGGAATGGAGTTCTGGGAACTCGAAGACCACGAAGTGGCTTACAGTTGGCTCCGGGCAGTCAGAATCATGCCCAGGAATGGAGTTCTGGGAACTCGAAGAACACGAAGTGGCCTACAGTTGGCTCCGGGCATTCAAAATCATGCCCAGGAATGGAGTTCTGGGAACTCGAAGACCACGAAGTGCGTTTTGTTGGCTAAAAAAGAGTCCCCCGCATCCTCCCCCGGATCGCGCCCAGACCCCCTTGGGGCGTCAAGATGCTGTCTTTTGACCCTACTAGAAACCTATCAGTCTTCGCTGTTAGGTAATAGAGGTAATAATTATAGCATCACCAATAATAGTTTCATCCATAATGGCAAAGAGAATGCGAATAGCATTATAATAAAGAGAATAAGATTAGTGAACATAAGATTTATCCCGGCAAAGCAACCTAACAGCGATGTGTAGGAGCATATTTGGAAGCATTCCCCTTAAGATTCAGATGAGAATCCAGTTGTAGAATTCTGCTGTTCTCGCAGTCGTAGCCGCAGTCGCGATGACAGTCGCAGCGGCAACGGCAGTCGCAGTCACAGCCTCAGCCTCAGCCTGCCTCAGCCTCAGCCTCAGCCAGCCTCAGCCTCAGCCTGCCTCAGCCTCAGCCTCAGCCTGCTTCAGCCTCAGCATCAGTCTGCCTTCAGCCTCGGCCTCAGCCTCAGCCTGCCTCAGCCTCAGCCTGCATCAGCCTCAGCCTCAGCCTCAGCCTGCCTCAGCATCAGCCTCAGCCTGCCTCAGCCTCAGCCTCAGCCTGCTTCAGCCTCAGCCTCAGCCTGCCTTCAGCCTCGGCCTCAGCCTCAGCCTGCCTCAGCCTCAGCTTGCAGCCTCAGCCTCAGCCTCAGCCTCAGCCTGCCTCAGCCTCAGCCTGCCTCAGCCTCAGCCTCAGCCTGCCTCAGCCTCAGCCTCAGCCTGCTTCAGCCTCAGCCTCAGTCTGCCTTCAGCCTCGGCCTCAGCCTCAGCCTGCCTCAGCCTCAGCCTGCATCAGCCTCAGCCTCAGCCTCAGCCTGAGCCTAGCCTCAGCCTCAGCCTGCAGCCTCAGCCTCAGTCTGCCTTCAGCCTCAGCCTCAGCCTCAGCCTCAGCCTCAGCCTCAGCCTCAGCCTCAGCCTCAGCCTGCCTCAGCCTCAGCCTCAGCCTCTGCCTCAGCCTCAGCCTCAGCCTCAGCCTCAGCCTCAGCCTCAGCCTCAGCCTCAGCCTGCCTCAGCCTCAGCCTGCCTCAGCCTCAGCCTGCCTCAGCCTCAGTGCCTCAGCAGCTGCCTCCTCAGCCTCAGCCTGCCTCAGCCTCAGCCTCAGCCTGCTTCAGCCTCAGCCTCAGTCTGCCTTCAGCCTCGGCCTCAGCCTCAGCTGCCTCAGCCTCAGCCTGCATCAGCCTCAGCCTCAGCCTCAGCCTGCCTCAGCATCAGCCTGCCTCAGCCTCAGCCTCAGCCTGCCTCAGCCTCAGCCTCAGCCTGCTTCAGCCTCAGCCTCAGTCTGCCTTCAGCCTCGGCCTCAGCCTCAGCCTGCCTCAGCCTCAGCCTGCATCAGCCTCAGCCTCAGCCTCAGCCTGCCTCAGCATCAGCCTGCCTCAGCCTCAGCCTCAGCCTGCCTCAGCCTCAGCCTCAGCCTGCTTCAGCCTCAGCCTCAGTCTGCCTTCAGCCTCGGCCTCAGCCTCAGCCTGCCTCAGCCTCAGCCTGCCTCAGCCTCAGCCTGCCTCAGCATCAGCCTGCCTCAGCATTCAAAATGTGACCCAGGAATGGAGTTCTGGGAACTCGAAGACCACGAAGTGGCTTACAGTTGGCTCCGGGCATTCAAAATCATGCTCAGGAATGGAGTTCTGGGAACTCGAAGACCACGAAGTGGCCCACAGTTGGCTCCGGGCATTCAAAATCATGCCCAGGAATGAAGTTCTGGGAACTCGAAGACCACGGAGTGGCCTACAGGTGGCTCCGGGCATTCAAAATCATGCCCAGGAATGGAGTTCTGGGAACTCGAAGAACACGAAGTGGCTTACAGTTGGCTCCGGGCATTCAAAATCATGCCCAGGAATGGAGTTCTGGGAACTCGAAGACCACGAAGTGCGTTACTGTTGGCTAAAAAAACGTCCCCGGCATCCTCCCCCGGATCGCGCCCAGACCCTTTGTTGGGGCGTCAAGATTTTCGCTTTTGACCCTACTAGAAACCTATTAGTCTTCCCTGTTAGGTAATGTTAATGGCACTATCAATGATAGTAATGCTGACGATGATGATAATGATAGTACCACGAATACGAACAACAATAATAATAATAAGAAGAAGAATAAGAAGAGGGAGAAGGAGGAGGAGGAGAAGGAGGAGCAGGGGGAGGAGGAAGAAGAATGAGGAGGAGAAGCCGAGGAGAAAGCCGCGGGAGGTCGGGGGCCGTGAAACACAATTTGAAGGTTCGCGCCAGACCCGCAGGCTGGCCAATGCAGAGGTGGGCCAGAAGCGCGCGCGAAGGAGGAGGAGGAACAGGAGGAGGAAAAGGAGGGGAGGATGAGAATGAGGAGAATCACGCGGATCGCGCGGATTGGTTCGGGTCGGCGCTGGACCCCCTTCAGCGGCGCTTTCAGCTCCGCCTTTGGCGCGCGCAGCGCGCCAAGAGTGACGGGGCCGAGGGTCGAGGAGATCGATGGGGGCGCGGAAGATCGAGGATCGACGACCTCAGAGTTGGACGAACAAAGTGTTGTATAAGCATCAACGTTCGGAGGCCCTCGCGGATTTCTTGGGTCGGCGCCATGGGGGGGCCCGGCGCCGACCCAGGAAATCCACGCAGACCTTGGAGAGTTCACAGTTCTGTTTTTTGACCCACTGGATACGAATGAAAGAAGGGGGAGGAGGACGAAGCAAAGGAGGAGGGGGAACGCGTGACTTCTGGTTATCGGAACGGGGGCCTGAGTATTGGTTGCCGTTGCTGGCGGTCCAAAAGCCACGCGTGCCCTTCCTCACTCGTGCCCCCTCGGGTGTTTGTGTTTGCGTCGCTGCCATTCCTCGGCCCAAGATCGGCGTGCATCACACCAATTATGAAGAGCATGATCATGCTTGGTCCGTCTGTCGAAGGGTATCTAGAACGTGCGCCTCGCGCGTGGGAAACGATGGTACCAGAAGCCCCGCTGGGTCGCGGCAATATTCATCATGTCCAGTTACATGTGTACACATACATACATACATACATACATACATACATACATACATACATACATACATACATACATACATGTATATATATATATATATATATATATACCAACCGTGATTGGGAAGTAGTGAAGATTCGCGTTCGGCCCTGTTGTGCCGAATGCGGGGACGATGTAAACAGGTTTTGATGTTGGGCTCCCACTTCTTCTGCGCAGAGGGTTGGTGGCCGTCTTGGGGCGGTGACGGCACGTTTTGAGGCCGACAAGAGCGCTGGAGAGAAAAACAAATGAGCGACGGAATGATACGGAGTCGATTGCGCGGACATTCGTGCGAAGTTTCCCGCGGAAGGTCGGGCGTAAGCGCCTTGCTCTCCACGCGGTGTGCCACGCTGCCGGCCCGCGTAAGCCGCGGCGCAAGGTCGCTATGTCTCATCGCGTAAGGCCCGTCTCTGTTCGTCGCTCAATTGTTTGTGTTTCTGATGGGCACGCTGGCGGATTCTACCCTGAACCCATCAGGCAGCAAGATGACAATTACGACAAGGAACAAGGAGACGAAGCATAGGAGCTAGATGGATTTGATCTAGCGCGGATAGGATAAACTGTGATGGAAAGAGGGGAGCCTCCGTTCCGAGAATTGGAGCACCAGAAGAGGGCGAGATGTTGCTAGTGTTATTCTTCGCAAATGTAAGCCCGACCTTCCCGCGAATCCAGAAGCAGTTGAATATTGAGGAGATTTATACCAGCGAGGAAGCAGCCTTCTTCAATCAATGGCCACATGAGGTGGGCGCGGGCCTAGCGTTTTGCCTGCACGGGGGCTTGAGTTCTCGAGCAGGCCAGAGACAGGTTGGATACAGCCGAAACTCACTCACGCTAACATCCACGACGTAGTCTAGACGGAAAGCATGTGTGATCTCCACTCTCGGGCGTCACTGTTTTGATTGTTCCTCCCTGGCCTTCAGCCCGAAGGTGGCATTGGCTGACAGGAGCAAGAATAGATGGTTTTGCCCTCGTCCCCTTTTGATGTTTGTTTCATTTTCAGCATAAGCTAATCGTTCGGATCACTGGAAGGGGACACAACGGAGGAAACAAAGAAGGCGGAGGAGGAGGACCAGCAGCAGCAGCAGCAGACTGCCATGCTGGGCCAGTGGGCGCTGCCGCTAACACCCTCGCGGCTCTCGCCTGAACACAGACGAGGGGGTGGGGGGGGCGCAGAGGTGGCCAGGGAAGAAGTGCATGATTTGTTCGGCCGTCTCGCGGCCCAGGCGCCGCATTGTACGTCCACTTCGACCCGCAGCGGAGCGCGGACTCGAACGCTGGCGGGCCGCGGCTATTGTGGGGGAGGGACGGATCAGGAGTACAGAAGCCTCTTAGGAGCAGCTCTTGGTAGAATCGCAAGTTCGTGAAATTTGTTTGATCCCAGGCTCAAGGCGCAACGAATCATGTGTAATCTCTATTTGAGACGATCTGCCCCATGCTCCCGCAGAAGGGAGCAATTCCCGACACTTGTTTGCATGTGCTTGTTTTCTGCGTATCCACGAAGATGTATGGTTCCTCCTTTTGGTCGTGGCGATGCAAAGTCGTTCCTTCAAGGTTGAAATGGCGAATTACTTCTCTTTTCGTCAGAGTAGCACACTTCACCCTACGTGCACAGACATAGTATTCATCTTGGAATCGAGCATTGGGGCCACATTTGCTTCATTCGACACTGGCTCACTCGGGTGTCTGATTGTGCTCGACAGAGTCTGAATGCACATAGTTGTTTATGTGGAGCGTTATTTGTCTCGACAGTTTTTCGATAATGTCCCCATGATAATATTCCAAGCACGGGTGTTTGGGACATTTTGCTTGCGTGTTGAAGGTTTGTTGACATGTTCATCATGCGGTCGGCCCGGTAAGTCATACGACAGGTTTTTGAACGATGTTGGATTGAGTCGGCACCGAAATATACCGGCGTCTTTATTCGCATCGCGCCCACCGCGCCCATTGAAGAATAGATGGTTATTCTAGGTTTGTTCGTTGCGAATAAATGTGTTAATCGCATCCGTCCCTGAGCCGTGATTCCAGTGTTCCAATGTTCTCGGCAATGCAAACTTCACACAATTGCCACACGGTGCCATACGATAGGCCGCTCGTACGATTAGGACTTGACCGATCAACCCAATCTCGGTACTATTGATACAAGGTTGGACCGTCATGTGTTCGTGGCGCCAGGACAGTAGCAGTGGTATAGCAATGCGGCTTCCCGTGACTCGCGTATACGCATCGTGAATTCGGCGACGACGAGTAGAGACCCGCGAGGCAATACGTTGAACTCTTGACACTTCGCGAATCCCCACCAGTGGGACCTCCCCGGGGAGACGCCCGGCGAAGCGATACGACGACCCCAAGTCGCACTAGGAACGATGTCCACTGGCACTTGGCACGCTTTCGCCAAGCGGCAGTCTGTGCCCGGCAGCAAGGGCGCGCTCGACCCGTTTCGGCACGACCCGCAAACCTGCCACCTCTTCCTGGAGTCCTTCCGCAGCCACAAGTGCGACGTACGGGTCCTCAGCGACGCGCTGGGCCTCAACGTCGACTGGACCCGGCAGTGGCAGCTGCACCTGGGTCGGTGGCGCCCGGCTCACGTGGCACTGCCCCCCCCCAACGGGCTGACACCCTTCTCTCACACATGGTCCTCTTGTTCCACTCTTGCTACGCTCTCTGTTGGGTTTTCTTTTTCCCCCCTCTGTCCAATACTCGCGTCGCACACTGTTGGGTTCTCTGAGGTCACCGTCGCCACCAGGCCCACTTGCGGTGCACCACTCTTGGAACGCTCGGTTCCCCCCTTCAGGCACTTGCAACACGCAATTGGGTCCTCTAGACCACGAACAAGACCGCGACGTCGACCCTGACGGCGACCACAAACGACAGACGACCATATTCCGACCTGTCGCACTTACGACTCCCCCTCCTACAGTGCAACAGGCTAGAGGATCGGAGCGGAAGGTCACAGCGGAAGCGGCGGAGGCTGCGGAAGCCGCGGAGCATCCCCCTCTGGACAGTCAGTCCGTCAGCAGTCCTCTGGCTGAGCCACACTCACAGCAGGGAGATCACTGCGCGTTGCCCCTCTACCTTTTCCACACTCCCACTATGGTGGCCGCGGTCCGGTGGAGTCGTTCCTCCCTGCCCGGGCGGGCACCTTCCCCCCTTCAAGTGCACCACTCTCGCAACGTTCTGTTGGGTCCTCTGCGCGGCGGGCACCTTCCCCCCATCAGGTCACCACTCTTGCAACACGCTGCTGGGTCCTCTTGACGACGACGACGCCCACGACCACGCGCACGACACGTTGTCGGACTTGACGGCAACGACAGACGACCACATTCCGACAGTCGCACTAACGACTCCCCCCTCCAACAGTGACAACAGGCCAGAGGAAAGGTGCGGGAAGTCACGGCGGAAGCGACGGGGGCCGCGGAAACCGCGGAGCATCCCCTCTGGACAATCTGGCCGTCAGCCGTCCTCTGACTGAGCCACACTCAACCACGGGACAGCCATTCAGACACAGGACAACGCAGCCATTCGCCGGCTTTTTCCCAGGCCCATTCGGGAGAACTGCCACTGATGACGCTGCAGTCCTGCACAAGTGGTACATCCTTTGGCAGGCTCTTCTTTCCCACGGCGGGCCCGGCCCATTGCTGTGAAGGTTGTCCCCCCAGCTCCTGCGACGGAGTACGCTCACCCGTGGCCGCGGCTTGGTGCGCACACGACGCCGACGACCTTCCCCCCAGACACGCCCCTGGCAACGCTCTGTTGGGTCCTCGGCAGTCTGTGTCGCCTGGCCCACCGGCGCCTCTCCTTCCTCCAGTATTCACCAGATTTGCTGCTATCGGCTGCACTTCCCCCCCCCTCCTCCACGCACGCTGAGGTGCTGAGCACGCCAGTCGGCTTCCCCCCAATAGTGCCGCGTCTTCGCGCACGCTCCGAGGTGGTCACTCCTTCCACGCGGAAGGGTGCGCCCGATGGGGCACTGGCAGGTGGGCCGTGGAGGCTGGCCCCCTGTACAAGTGGTGCATCCTTTGACAGGGCCGTGCTTCCTTTTGGCAGGCGTTCTCCAGCATCCAGCTATGCCAGCGACATCGGCCCCTTCCTCTGGTAGGATTTGTCGCTCGCGGGCGCCATCGACCCCCTCCAACAGTGACAAAGGCCAGAGGAAGGTGTGGGAAGTCACGGCGGAAGCGACGGGGGCTGCGGAAACCGCGGAGCATCCCCTCTGGACAATCCGGCCGTCAGCCGCCCTCTGACTGAGCCACACTCACTGCAGGGAGACCACGGGACAGCCATTCTGACACAGGACGACGCAGCCATTCCCCGGCCCTCACTCAGGCCCATACGGGAAAACAGCCACTGATGTCGCTGCAGCCCTGCACAAGTGGCACATCCTTTGGCAGGCTCCTCCTTCCCACGGCGGGCCCGGCCCACCGCTGTGAAGGTTGTCCCCCCAGCTCCTGCGACGGAGTACGCTCACCCGAAGCCGCGGCTTGGTGCGCACACGACGCCGACGACCTTCCCCCCAGACACGCCCCTGGCAACGCTCTGTTGGGTCCTCGGCAGTCTGTGTCGCCTGGCCCACCTGCGCCTCTCCTTCCTCCAGCATTCACTTGTTTTGCGGCTATCGGCTGCGCCTCCCCCCCCTCCTGCACACACGCTGAGGTGCTGAGCACTCCAGTCGGCTTCCCCCCAACAGCGCCACGTCTTCGCGCACGCTCCGAGGTGGTCACTCCTTCCACGCGGAAGGGTGCGCCCGTCGGGGCATTGGCAGGTGGGCCGTGGAGGCTGGCTTCCTGTACAAGTGGTGCATCCTTTGGCAGGGCCGCGCTTCCTCTTGGCAGGCGTTCTCCGGCATCCGGCCACGCCAGTGACATCGACCCCTTCCTTTGGTAGGATTTGTCGCTCGCGGACGCCAACGACGCCATGCCCTTCTGCGGAGTTGAGGTGGTGCACACCTGCCCGCAGACTCCCCCAGGCGGGGCTTCTGAACGCCGGTGGGTAGTGCCGCCGTGGTCCCACGCGACGCCCCCCCCGTCCACGGACGCAAGGAAGTTGCCACTCGGGACTCACGACAAGACCACCGACGCCTGGCTCAGTGTCGACCTGTCTTCGAGCACACGAGGTGCTCTGTGAGTGAGCTTCCTTTTGCCCCCCTGCCCCTCTCTCCCCCTTTTCCCGCCCTTCTCTTCCCCCCCCTTTTCCTGCGCCTGCCTGCCTCTGCCTCGCCTGTCCGCGTTTGGCGGTACACCTTCTGGGGCCCCGTGCTGCCCGCAGTGTCTCTGCCTTCGCGCCGGCCCGTGCCGTGGAAGCTGGCGCCACTGTGCGACCTTCCGCCAGCCTTCGTGTCTGCTTCCTAATTAGGTTCATTTTGTTCCTCGCACGTGCATTCCGGCGTTGGACTCTGGCTTCCGTTGGCAATTATCTTGCTTGCTGCCCCAAGCTTGCTCGAACCGCTCTCTGGAATCGTCCTCGGGGCCGCCGATCAAAAAAAATATCCCCACCAGCCACCATGGGCAACGGTGTGGACCGTGAGTGAGAGCTATGTAGGTCTCTGCCCTGTTTTTACCTACCCCGCGCTCGGCGGTGGTACCTCGCGCTGACTGGTTCAGCCTTCAGCGTGTCGCTCTGGCCCTGTCAGTCTATTCGGATAGGCCGGCTGCGCGGACTGGCGCCGAAATGGCGACTCTTCCGCACCGTTTAATCGAGCATTTTGTTTACTGCGTGTGCATACTCGTGTATTGCGGGTGCTTACTGCAGGCGTATTGCCTGTTGTAATTAATTAACTTCGCCTGCTGGCCCAGTCGACGCCTACCGCCCCCTGTCCGCCGCCTCGGAGCCGCCAACCAAAAAAATATCCCCACCAGCCCATTCAGAATTGTGCCCATTCAGAATTGTGATCAGGGAAGTGTAGGAGCATGCAGTGTACAAGGGGGGGCAACCGTCGCACCGAAGCTCGGGATCAACCTGAGCATTCCCAGGAGTCACCCATAAATGCCATCGCCAATTTTTCGGTATGGGAGCCACTTGGCAGCTGAATCGACCCCTGCTTGGAAAATGTTGGTGGTTTGGGGTCTCTTTTGGAACCCTCTTGGAGGCTTCTGGGGCGCTTTTGCGGCCATGTAAGAAGGCATCGATCAAGGAAGGGATTTTCGGAATTATATGTTCGACCCTCGCGAGCCTGAAGAATCACATCTTGGGCGTTCTTGGAGCCGTCTTGGAGCATTTTTGGACCCTCTTGGGGTTTTCTTGGGCCACGTGCAGGCTTCAGAAACCCATTGGAAGCGAAAACGCAAGAAACGAAAATCTCGTGGTCCCCTTTGATGCTGAAAAGGATTTGGTTTCTTTGGAACATCCTTGGAAACTTCGTGGCCACTCGGATCCGTGTGTGGCCGGCCTTTGAGCCTATTGGAGGCGTCGTGAAGGTCATGCTGAGTTGTCCTAAGATACGTTGCACAGTTTTTGGCTATCCGAGGCCATCTTGGACCTATGTCAGACGCTCTAACGTTTCGGGCCCGTCCCCATCCAGACCCAGGGGAGAGGTAGGGTAAGTGGTAAATGGTCAAGTACCTAGCGGGGACGCCGCAAGCTGTCTTGCCCATTTTCCCCCACACGTCTCAGCACGCATTGGACCATATGCCGATCCCCCACACACACACACACACACACCAGCCCTGTCTACGGTGACACCTCCGCCGTCCTTGTCAAAAAAAACAATGCGAAATGATCGCGGGCCGCCCTTGGGGTCAGTTCGTGGGTTTTCTGGAATTGCTTTGGAGGCAATTTGGGCCGTCCTCACACGATTTAGGGTGCTTCCTGTGCCTTTGTAGGCGCTTTCAAGCTCGAAAAGGCGAGACCCCGAAAATCAACCACATAATTAAAGGACATATACCTCTTGAGGCCCTCTTTGGGGCCCTCTTAAACGCCTCTTGGGGCGGTTTGGCTGCCTCTTGGGCCATCTTGAGCCGTCGTGGGGGCGCCTCTGACATGTATGAGAGCCACGAGACTGAAATCATGTTGATGTCGTTTGAGTACCAAATAGGGGGAGGGGTATCGTAGACAGGATGGGCGTTGCGTGGCGATGGGTGGTGCCAGATACAATATCAGAATGGAGTGCGAAAACATATCATGATACTGATACCACTCATGACATAGCGTTATCCGGTAAACTCGGATGACGTTGTCGTCCCGTTGGTCACCCCGCTTTGCTTGCGGTCGTGGATTCCTTTCGTGTCGCGGGTGCACGTCCAGAACGCGTCATGTCTTGGCGTTGCTTGGTTTGCCTTGCGCGTCTCCCGTTGCTTTCTGCCGTCTTGGAGGCTATCTGAGGGCCTCCCGAATTTTTGTGCTGGGTCGTGGGTTTTTTTTCGGAGTCTTTTACTAGAAGCGTCTTGGAGGCCTCTTGCGAGCCTCTTGGGCCAGTCTTGCGAGGACAGACCCCCAATACGAATGTCATTTCCATCTCTGGGGGCCTGGCCCGTCTTTGGATTTCTGGAGCCGTTTTGGGATCTCCTTAGGCCATCCTACACTCCTCGACAAATTTAGCTTCAACAGTTTGTCACGCGCCCCTTCAATGTCCAAGAACATACAAATTTCGATGATAAGTTTGACATCGTTTGGCGAGGTGTGTTCGTTTCGAGCATCTTCATGGCACACGTGTTATGTGTCATAAACTTGCATTGTGCCTCAGCCTCTCCGTTCGCGTATCCAAGCAAGGTGGCGGATAACACATTCGAAAGAGAGCTTGTTGCCGCTTTTGGCAGGGGGGGTCAGACCGAAAAATGCTGGAATATGGAACACTAACTTCCGGAGGTTAGGGCTCCCTTTTTTGGATCTTCCCAATACAAAGTGCACACGTCGAACTCCAATGTTTCCGCAAACCGTATTTGATTAGGTTCCCATGTCTGTTATGTATGATTATTCATCACGTTCCCATTTGCACTCTTTATGGTTATCAAGGTTTCGGATTGCTTCTCATTCCATGTACATATGCTTTCGCATGGTTATGTTGTTGATTATGGGTAAGCTCCCCAATTGGAAACCCTAATCTCCAGAAGTTAGTGCTCGAACCTCTTTGTTTATGTTTGTTTCTCTATGTGTTATCATGTTTATTTAGTTATCTTGGTTGTTTACTTACGGTCGCTCATGTTTGGCGTTGTTTCGTTTTGCTAAAGTTGGGAAGCAAGAGCATTGACCATGGGGAGGTGAGTGTTCCAAGCTCCGAGGTGCGAAACACTAACCTCTAGAGGTCAGTGGAACAATCGTCGGGAAATTAGCGGAGGGGTCCAGACCCCGGTGGCGGATTGCGGCCGCTTTTCGGAGCGCTGGCGTTTCAAAGTCGCCGGCGGGCAGGCAGCCCGCGCGCGGTCATTTGCCGCGGGATCGGTGGCCGACCAGCGGGCCGTAAAAAATGAAAGGCTCGCGGGACCCGCGGAGCCCGCGACGCCCTCATCCTTCGGGATCCTTTGGCACCAGACGGGGCCCCTGCAAGGGCCAGGCAGGTCCCCATCCAGTTGGACCTCCAGCTCCCCGTCGGCCAGGACCCCTCCGGCGCGATGTCCCCCTCGGACAGATTGGAGGCTTCGGGCGCGGACAGGCTCGAGCAGGATCTCGGCGGGGTCCGCATGGACTCGGATGGCTTCAACGTTAGTTTCGACGAGGTGCCCTCTGCGATTACTGACATCCCTGGGTGGAGGCCCACGGCGGCCGTCAAGGTCTCGGGCGGGGCCAACTTCTTGTTCTTGGAGGGGGGCCCTCTGCTTGGCTCATCGTCACCTTTTTCGGGGCTCAGGCAGTGCTGGGCGACGTCTCTTCGCGTTAATCAATCATCTACCATTGGCCCTCGGTGCGGTCAAGGGGAGGGAGGGCCCAGTGTCCGCACCTACGGCGTTGTTTTCGTCGGATATGTGCGCTCTTGGTGGCGTCAGCCTCGAGGCTCCACACGCGCGCTGGGCGGCATCCGAACGGAACCCCTCCGACGCCGTCAGCCGGGGCCGACACGGCTGGTTCATCGGCCACAGGGAGCTGCGGGGGCCATTGCCGAGGCCTGTTGGCGCCGTGACGGTGGCAGGCATGGCGGGCCCCAGCGGTGCCGCGGCGGCGCGGGGCTCGCGCGCGCCGCGCCCCATGGCGGCGGCGGCCCAGAGGCGGAGACTGGCACGGCACGCGATCGCAGAGAGGCCAATCCTAACCAGGCTCACCATGCTGGAGACTCTGGCCTTGCGCTCCAACACCGAGCGGAGCTACCACCATCCTCTACGAACTTTCGTCGATTGGTGCCCTCAGCACCACCAGGACTGGAGCGCACTCGAGGAGCTCGACGCGGTGCTGGCCCAGTACTTCTCTGACCAGTACCGGATGCGGACCGCGTGCAACATCGGGTCGCAGACGCTAGCGGCCATCGCGCACGTGACCCCCTCGACGTTCAAGAAGACGGCGGCGATCCCCCCTCGAGCTTCGAGGGCGTCGGCTGCGTGGAAGAGGCGAGCATCTGGCAAGACACGGTTGCCTCTGCCGCGCGCAGCGGTGCATGCAGTCGCCGGGTGGCTGATCAGCCACGGGCAGCTCGGCCTGGCATGCTGGATCGCGATCGCGCTCGCGGCCTACGTGGGGCCGGCCGAAACCCAGTACTCGACGCGCGAGAATTTGGTGATTCCGACGCCAGAGGGGCATGAGCTACTCGAGCTGGGGCCTCCTGCTGCACCCCATTGAGAGAGACGTTGCAGGACAAATTGGCCAGCGCGACGACGGCGCGATGCTGGGCCAGTCGGAGCTGCGGCCTGCACTGACAGTCCTGCGCCAGGCCTCTGCGCCGGGCGTGTCGCTCTGGGCCTTCTCCCTGGAGGACATCACGGCGCAGTTCTGGATCGCCTGCCGCGCGCTGAGCCCCGGGGCGCTGCGGCCGCACCTGCATCGCTTGCGGCATGGCGGAGCCTCCGACGACCTGCTGACTGGCCGTCGCAGCCCAGTCGAGGCGCAGCGACGCGGGAGGTGGGCCGACCCCTCGTCGATGCGGCACAGCGGCAAGGAGGGCGCCCTGCTCGGCAAGATAGCCAGGACAAACGCCGCGTTCTTCACATTCGGCGCCCGCGTCGAGGCGAACTTGGCGACGCTTCTCGAGCGCGGCCTCGACGGAGCGGGCCCCTCGGCTCGGGCGCCGGCCCCGGCGCTCCGCGCGCCGCACCCCGCTCCGCCTGCAGCGGGCAAGCGGGCGCTGAGGAGGCCGCCCGCGCGCCGATGATCGGCCCCGGCGCCCGCAGCTGCTGGCGGCGAGCTGCGCGGGCGGCACCTGCGGCGGCGGCTCAAGGCTGCCCTCCGCGGGCGGCGGCTGCGGCGCGCGGCGCTGGAGCTCTTCGCTGGCTTGGGTCGCCCGACTGAAGCGGTGAAGCGACGGGCTTGGATTTCGATCTCCGCCATGGCGCTACTGAGGGCCACTTGCGCGCTGCCTTGCTGCATGCCCTCGCGGGGTGGCTGGCCACCCACGTCGCAGGCGCAGTCCGGCTGGGAAAACCTCGCACCCCGAGGAGCCCTCTCAGAACGCGGGCCCGCCCAATGGGCCGCAGGGGACAGCTCCCGCACGAGGCGGCAAAGTCACGCATCGGCAACATATGTTTCCATATGATTTGCGACATCATTGATCAGCGCATTGAGCTTCGCATCCCAGCATTCATGGAAAACCCTGCGGGATCGGCGTTGTGGCATGTTAGGCGGATGAGACGCGCGCCCAGGGCGCCCCCTGCTTAGTTCGTCACCTTCGACTGCTGCCAGTTCAGAGCCCCGTGGCGGAAGCGCACCTAAGTTGCGGCCCGGAACGCCGTCAGTCTCCAGAATCTGAATACGCGCTGCAGCGGCCGTCGCGGCCTTTGCTCCGGGACGCAACAGCCGCGCGCCATCTTGATTGGCCAATCGACGGCGTTCACTTAATTGCTCAGGCGGCCGCCGATCTGCCGCATCTCTGCAATGACTTTGCTCGTCCCATTGAACAATCGATGCTCACTCATATGTCTATGAGCGAGATACGTTGTCGTTCGCCTGCATCATTAATGTTGTTCCTTCATCGGCCATTCGGCCAGTCCCGCCCCGTTCGGGCACTTGGGATTCTGCGCGCGCCATCGCCGCCTCGCTCGTCTGCGCCGTCGCCTCGAAGACGACCTCGAACGCCTGGCCCCTTTCCGCGCGAGACTGTCGGAAAACTGGCGCGCGCTTCTGGTCGGGCCGCCGCCCTTCCGCCCGACCCCGCTCTTTCTGTCTTCAAGGTGGTCGTTCCGGCTGGCCTGCGGAAGCGGAGACGGGCCGCGCGTCTTCACAGCAGTTTGCGCAGATGCAACGAGAGGGGGCCGCACGGCAATTCGACCGTCGCTTTTGCGGGGCTCAAAGCGAACCCACCCACAGGCCGCCTTGGGCTTTAATATCTAATTGCATTCCTTTTGATCCCCCTCGCCCCTAGGTATTCCGCGCGCGCCCATCACTTCTCGCATGCGGGGATATTGCACGGGCCTGGCTGGTCCTGGTCGCGGAGCGGGAGCCGCGCGCCTCGTTTGAGTCGCCCGAAGGGGGGGGGGGGGGGGGGGGGCGACTAGCCCCAAGGACTCTGGCGTAGGCGGGGGTGGATGTTCGCACGTTCCCCGGGCGATCCAGACGTCGCCGACCACGGCCTCGGCGCGGATGTGCACCAGAGGGGCGCATCCGTGCATGGCGGCTGTGGCGCCCGCCGTCGCTGGGAGGCCGATGGCACACCAGCAGGGTAGCGCGGGCGTGTAGTCGGTCGTTTCTCCGGCGGCTTGCACTACCACATGCCCGCCGGAGGAAACTGTCATGATGATGCACGCGCCTGGCTCGACGCGGGCGTCGACACCACGCGTTCCACCCTGTTGTCCTTGTTCGAGCAACCGCGGGCGGGGCGCTGCGGGGGCGATCGCGCGCATCGGGCCGATGTGATCGTCGACCCAGCCTGCGGCAATGGCGGGAGGCCCGATCCTTGGGAGCAAGTCTGCGGGGGCCGCGTCTGGGTCGGTGGCGGGGGCGGGCCAGGGTCTGATCAAGAGGCGGCACGCACCATGCCCTACTGTCGTGCCCATTAGTGGCAGGTGCCGATGTGTGGGCAGCCAGGGCTCCGGGCACAGGAGCCGCATCTCGGTCCCTCCAACCTGTACACCGGGGAAGTCCATTCTGGCAGTGGTGACGACCTGCGGGTGCTCCGCCGCCCGTCTGGCAGCAGCCATTCTTGGTCGGGCTGCTTCTCTCACGCGGTCGTCTAGCGCATTGTCAGTGCCTGGGGTGCGTTTCGCTGGCTCCCTGGCGTGCGTGGCCGGGAAATACGGATGTGCTGTCCGTTTACGGTTAGGAGGCCGGTGGCCCCCTAGGCTGCCTCCACGGTCTGTTCAGCGCCCTCGCGGAATACCACCTGTCCCATGTCTCGGCAGGCATCGACGTCACGGTGCCAGGCGTGCATGCGTGCAACGGTCCATACGGCGCCGTCCCCAAGGGTTCTTCGAACCGCGTGTCGGACCGCATCCAGGTCAACCTGGCCTTCTGTAGCGACGTCCCAGCGCAGGTGCGACCCTGCCTCGGGGTTCACAGTGCGTACCAGGGACGGGCCTCCTGTCCAGGGACCGGCCATGGTGATGCGTCGGGGGGAAACAGCGCTTGGTTGACCGTTACAAGCCAGTGCCGCGGTCACTTGCGTACGGATGTATCTCATGATGGGCGCCGCCGCGTGCTCAGGCGCGTTGATCAGCATGACGCCAGATGCTGTGACGCCCACCCTGTGCCCCAGAGCCGTTGCTGCCTGCGCGGCGATGGGGTAGGCGAGACAGAGGCTGCCCCGTCGGAGAGGGATATGGACGACGTCCGAGGTCTCGTGCTGTCTCCATACTGCAGTATGGATGTCGGTGGGCGCCAGCTGTTGGGCCGCTGCCTGCATGCCCGCAATGAAGCGGTGGGCGTCGGCTGGTCTGTAGTCCACCATGCAGATCTTGATGGCGTGGTCGACCAGTGGCTCTAACACTTGCTGAAGGAGGTCTGGGTTGCGCCCGAGCTGCGTAATGTTGGTGGCCCATTCAAGCTCGTGCCCACGCGCCTCTAAGTCTCGCCGCGCCCGCTTTATGAGGGCGACGACGTGCTCATTGCCGGAGTCAGGGGTAAGCATATGCAGGGTGCCCCTGTGATCGGCGCTGCCGTTTCCCCGGTGCACCACTACATTGGGAGCGTGCTGTAAGCGCGCGGCCTTGGCCAGGAAGTTGATCTGCGTGGCAAGAATCTGCATGGGGCCGCGGTTCTCCGCTCGCGGTCGTCCGACTGGCACCAGATGATTGGCTCTGCAGAGTGCTCGGTGCCCCCAGAGCGCGTGCGCGGCGGCCGCCACCCCGATCGGATCTGGGCCCCCCGGTGTCGTAACCCTCTCGCGTCCGAGGACAACCAAGTGACAGGGGACGGCCTCGAGCTGTATAAGACCAACCAAGGCGTCCACTTGGGTGGCGTTTGTGTCGACTGCCATGACATCGGGGGGCGGGGGTGGGATCCGCGCCTCTGGGTCCGAAACGGCTCTTCTTGCGTGATCCAGGATTTCTTTCACCTTGTCATGTCCGGTCTCGTTGGGGAAGGCGAATGTCGCTGCGACTCTGTCGATGGGTCTGATTCCGACCAGCGCACGCGGGAATACCACGATGGATGCTCGTAGTTCCCGAGTCGTTGCGGCAACTATGGACGTGGGCGTGTAAATTGGTCCTCTTGTGCGTCCTCGGCTAACCGTGTTGACTCTGACTACCACGTTGCAACACCGTTCGTGTGCGACCAGGGGTCGCTGTTCCAGTCGCGCTCTTTCGCTAGGGGGTTCGGTCTCTGGATGACGCGCGCTGCTCTGTTGGACTGCGTCTCTTCGCCCGGTCGCTCGTGCATTCAAGAATTTCTTCCTGCTGTCAGCTGGGGCTCATGGGCGCGGGCGGCCAGGGAGGCCTGCCGTTGCGTGAACTCGCGCTGCCATCGTATCATGCGCCGTAACCTGTCCACATCCTCGTGGGAGTGCGTCTGGGGCCGGGGGCCGGCGGTGCGTCAGGTCGGAGTCGTAGGATTCCTTCGAGGACGCTGGTGGCCCATTGTGTGTTCGGCCTCCGTTGCTGGAGAAAGAAAGGCGCCCCCCTCCCGCCCGTCGCCGTCCTCCGCCGCGCTGTTGTGGCCTTCTGCCGTGCTGGGCTGCGCGCGGGAGGTGGGGGCTACGCACCCGCCCTCCGCTCTTCGTGCAGGTGTGTACGATGCCACAGGAGCGGGCGGGTCGATGACCTGGTGGGTCTCCCCGTTATCCTCGCCGCGGCAGAGCGGACACTGGCGCTCGTTCCTTCTTTGTCGCGTTCTCCAGTCCTCGAGGCAGCGGGAGTGCACTTGGTGCCCACATGGTATTATGCTGGACACCCTCCCGACCATGATGTCCTGGCAGATCGGGCACCGCCCCCTCGCGGTGCCCATCTGGGCGGGGGGGGCTGCTGGCGGGCAGGCCATGGACACGGCAGCCGTGAGCTCGTTGTAGACAAATCGTCATTGCTGCTCCCCTTCTCTGGTGGAGCCCTGCATCAGACATGCTAGGTGTCTTAGGATGTCCCCCAGCGCTCCGGCGCTGAAGGGTTCGTATACTGGGAAAGCTTCCGCGGGCATGCCGGTGGCCACCGTGGCGAAGCTCACGAGTCGTGTTGGTGAATGCACCGCTGCTCGCCTGAGCCATCTCGCGACCACGTCGAAGGGGCCTCCGTCAATCCGTCTCTTCACGACCAGCGGCCGCAGCAGCGAGCGGCAGTGGGGGCGCAGGATGAGCCACATCACGGCCGATAGCCATTGGCCTTGGTTAGCGCCGGGGCTCGGGATATCCCTTAACATGTCGTGTACTCTTTGTGCCGCGGCGCCGTCCACTGAGCCGTCGTCGGGTAGCGCGACGAGGGGAGCGTTGGTATCCTCCTTGCTGCGGTCCCTGCGGTCTAGTGCGCTGGCGACGTCTTGAATGGTCAGCATAGCGCGCCATTCTGGCTGGTGCGGGATGGGGCGTGGCAGGATACGTACGCGTGATCCGGTGAGGGTACGCTGGTCTGCGTTGCTGCTGTTGTCGCACGTCTGTCGGACTTGGGAGGGTCCCTGCGACGCGAGCGGTCCGTGCCCCCCCGGGGGGGTGGTGCGCCTGCCCCTGGTGGCCCTAGCATCACGTCGGCGTGTACCCATCCGTCTGGGTCCGCGAGGTCGATCAGGTGCTCTTGTAGT